TGGTTGCTATATACTGCATTACTTACTGACTGCATCTGCTGATATCTTTGACATGACTTTCATGCACAAAATGTGCTTTCAGATGTCCTAATAATAATAATAAAGCAATTTAGTATGCATAATAAATATATAACTATGCAGTCAAGTACAACCTTCTTACTTTTATGCATATATTATGCTTTTCTAAAAAATGCCTTTGTATTTTTATAATTATGTGGAACATTGTTATACTTTTTATACCAAGTTACAACAGTATTACACCATCTGGTGTAATCATCTGATCCATACAGGTAGTTACACAGTAATTGCCATTGATTGATGTTATTTAACTTATACATTGCTTGATGATGACAAATATCCACAAGGAGTTTAAACCATTCCACATTAAGTTCATTTATATTAATGCACTCATTAATAGCATCAAATGCTTTTTCTTGAACAAAGAAACTAATATGCCCAATATCTTGTTCAGCATCTTTCTTATTCTCCAAACCTACATGCGCCACTAGACTTAAACACCAAACATTGTCATAATAATAAATCTTGTTTACTTCAATTGCTGTCTCAATATCAAGCAGGGCTTTTCCAAAATTTTTCATTTTTAGCTTGATATTTGCTCTATTACACAATGCTGTATAGTTTGTGGGATCAGCTTGTAGTATTTGTGAATAGATGTTCAAAGCTTTTTTCAACTTATTATTTACATAGGCAATTTTAGCTTTTTGAAACAATTTGTCTATATTTGGTGCTGTTAATGATTTCCAAATTGATCTCCATGTAGATTCAGAATCATACTTTCTCATTTTTTGCTTTCCTTTTTGTTTTTTAAAGTCATCCCACTCATCAAATATTTTTGCATCTGTAGTGCTTCCAGTATTAGTATTATAAATGTCTTGATGGTCAGTATCTGCAATATATTGTTGAACATTATTGTATATTGTCTGTTGTGGCAAATAATACACTTTATCCTTTATAATTTTACTTCTGCAATAAGGGCACTCCAAGTTGTTTAATGATAAAAGAGCCTTTGAGCTAATAATATGTTGGCAATTAAGCTGATAAAAGTCACCAACTGCTTCACAAAGAATAGCACATGTTAGATCTTCTGCAATATAGTCAATTGGGTTTCTTTCAACACATTTTTCTTTCTCTTTGTCTTGTTGTTCCCTATTTTGAGCATTCCTTATTTTGTCTGGTATGTACTCAAAAATCATTTTTGCTTCAACTTTTAATTTTTTTTTCAGATAATAGTATATGCTGATCAATGTCGGTATATATTTCTCATCACAACCAGCAATATCATCAGGTGTTGTAACAAACAATTCACTATTTTTGGCTTCAAGACTTAATAACACTTCAATAGATTTGAATTGAATAAATTCAGTGATTGCATTATTCAATGAGTCTAATGCTATGTAATAGCAAATAGCTTGTGTAGTTGTAGAGAATGTCTTCTGAATAAGTTGTTGGATAATATCTAAAATGCCAAACCAGAGTTCATCACTAACATCCTGATTCTCTGCTGCATTTTCAGCATAACATAGGCTGACATGATACCAGAGATACTCAAGAAGCACTCTTTCTTTAAAGCTCACTGAAATGCTAGACTCTTTTTGCTGACACCATTCATCAAGACTATCTTGTAATATCATAAGTTGTCTCCATGTTGTATACCATGGTTTGCCTAATGGTTCAACATAAAATGCTTCTTTAAGATAGTTCCAGGATCTCTCTATCTCAAAATCACCAAGAGGAACTTCAACTCCTGTAAATAATTTAATCCCAACTTTAGCTAATCCAGGAACAGCAACAAGTAAACCTTTTAATGCTGTAATGGCCCGGTCAATATTTGTCTGATACTGGTTTTTATCATCACAAACAGCATTTAATGTATTCTTAATGAGTTTGAGAAGGTATCTGTTATTGTAATTGCATTTAAAGCTTTTGATAGTTTTGTCTAATTTGTTAGATCCTGCAAAATTAGATTTCCAAGTTTCTCCTCCATGCTGCATAATTGTTGAATGTTCATTCTTGTACCTGGAAGTAGCCTGTCTTATATCATCAAGAAAGTGACATGTAAATTGACATTCATTCTGACACATTTGCTCCAGTATAGTTATAATAATTCGTAATTGCCACTCCAATTTAATAGCTGTTTCCCCTGAAAACACGTCATCAAACTCTTGAGAGCATAGACTCTTCAAAGCTATATTTAACACCTCTACTGATACAGAATCTCTTTTATGTTCAAGAATGTATTTGAGTGCGTAAATATTCTCAGAGTATTTCAAATCAGTTAACAATCCCTTTATTTGTGCATTTGCTGATATAAGCCCTTGTTCCATTAATTGAAGCATAACTTTAGGAAAACTGCCTCGATTTACAGTGTTGTTCGGTGTTGAATTAGAAGACGTCATCGAGGAAGCACTGGGAGCACTCGCTGTGGAGAAGGTGTCTGCTGCATAGCCAGTTGTTGAGTTAGAACTCATCGAGTCAACCGTAAAGGGAATTGAGCTTTCGGGTTTCTACAAAGTATCACGTAATAATTAATAAATGAGCAGTTAGTGTACCTTTGCATATTGCACTTGCTTTCCTATACCTCATATAACATTGTGAAGTAGTGCATCTTCCGACGATTCTATTGTTTATATTCTAAAATTCACTGTGTTACATTAATGTTATTATTATGATCCGTTTTCGGGGTTCTGAGAACGGGTCAACAATTGTTGCCCATTTCGGGATCCTGAAACGGGTTCAATAATATACGAAAAAGTTTTATCAATGTAACACGCATTATACATTTTGACTATACCAAATATGCATAACAAGCTTTTTTTTTTTACTTGCAAATTAACGATTATATTACCGAAAAGCATATTTTCAATAGACGTAACTCATGTTCTCGGTGGTTTGACGCATATGATTAACTCGGCAAACAGAATCCCAAAGCCATTACATTCTGTAAAGATCATAACATTGTAATGGCTGTTAATATGCTCGATTATATCATTTCATAATGTGCAATAATAATATCAGGGAGCGCAAAGCCAAATAAAAAACATCATATGATTAGAAGAGGTCGAGGGGGGATACTACAGAATTACCAAATCGGGGATGTGGTTGGTGCGACTTCAAATCCCAAGAAGAAGGTTTCTCCCATGGATGTTTTGGATGGAGGGTGGTATAAACTGGTTGTAGTTCAGGCATACTAAATACCCATTACCGAGCTGACTTTGGGTTACAATTATTATATACACTTTTACAAGGACATCTTCTTGTTGAACATTTATTTTTACAGTTGCAGTACTAGCGCTATTTTCATCTCCCGTGCCTTGCAACCCCTAAACGCCGCTGTCAATGATCCAACTGTTATCTCACAAATAACCATTGTGTTAATCATTCGTAACAAACTATGTGTAATTATAAATAACAAGTAAATTGCTAACATCTTTTCGTTTAACTCATACATTTAATATCGAAAAAATGCTATTAGAATGAGCGTTGTTAGTATTATTGTGAATAGTATGTGTATCACTGTGATAAAAAAAATTTTATGTAGATACACATTTTGAGCAAAATCGAAATGGGTTGACCCGTTCTCAGAACAGGTCCAACTCGAAAACGGATCATAGCATTAATATTAATTCCGGTAGTCATTATTTGCGATAAGAAACATAATATTCTGGTGATAAGTCGGCCAAAGATATCTGCTCTCCGATGGCCGACTTATCGAGAATCACGTGTTCATATATAATTCACATTTAATAAATCGTCGTTTCCGTTAGTTATACAACTAATCATGAAATAACTCTGCAAACTAGCTTATCTTGGGAATCGATTTGCTTTTTTCTTATTTGACGCTGTAAATATTTTATTCCTGACAATATAGAGCGTTTGATTGCACTTCAATTACTTTCTAATGCTGTTTTATTAAAAACCGATGGACATTTATTTTCATTATCTGCTTCGGTCTCAATTGTATTATGCAGAGACGTGTTATGGTTGCAGAAGTTTAATTTGAAGTTTATAATACAATTTATATTGATGTTAATATGAGTGAGGTATACGTAAATGGTCTACAGTCGACGTTTTACATCCCCCAAAAGAATAATCAGGTCATTGATTTGTCAGCTAGCACAAATGTATCGGCTGTTGTTTGTAAACCAAAAAAAGGAACGTCTCCATCGTATGCACCAACTGTTTATTTGCAAATCACCAATAATGGTCGGGGTTTGGTTTGCTATTCAATACACTAAACTTAAAACGTCTTGGCACGTGTATACCAGTATTGTAAAAACTGTTTTCATCATATACACCAACTGTTAGGAAAAGGCGTATTCTCAACGTAAGTTACCAATAAAACACATAATTGTTAACACTAAAATTAAAAAAAAAAAAAAACAAACTTAGCCTTCAAATATCTCACCACGCACAGCGTTCCATCTTGTAAATATCAATTGTTTCATCGTATACGCTAGCTAGCTATTTGGAAAATCGTAAACGCATGACACACGATTCGAATTGAATGCCCACTTTTCACATTGTCCATTGAGCAATCGCATTTACCCAAAAATAACCAACAAATTGTTTATGCCGATAGTAAACCTATCAATTTGTCAACGAAAGACATAAGAAAGAAAAGTATGAAATAAAGAGACAAATTGTTAACAACACAAATAAATTTAATTAAACGGACAAGAATATTCAAATTTACGTTCTGTAAATTTCACATCCCAAAAGTATCCTTATTATCTTCTTAATATTATCTTTCACTTCTTTTTAATTGTCTATCTATAAAAGCACCATGTCTTTGGAAATTCGGTCAATCGGAGAAGTCATCAGTTATTATTATCAAGCTACACCGCAATGAATTTGTAGACGGAATGGGAATCGTTAAATCAAAAACAATTGAAAACAAAAGTATTACATTCAACATTGTGTCCAATCTATCCCAGTCGATGTCGAAGATCCATGTTATGTCACTTCGTTGGCTCCTAAAGATGTCGTCTATTTCTACGGGACTGTCACAAAGGTGGATTCGTCATCACAAGCTATTAATGTCACCTGCTCCCACTCTAAAAAAAATTTCTCTGGATCCATCGTCCATCCCTCATAATTTTACTTACGTAACAGCAGTTAGTACAATTGCTAGTAAACCAAACATCACAGAAACAACTGTTTCGTTCGACGTAAGTCTTTCTCAGTATGAACAAAAATCAAACATTTATTAAATCGCACAAAAGTTTATAATGTCGGCTCTCGAGTAAAAATCGAAGGCAACATGCAACGTTTGTTATTCCGAAAAATACTACCTCCAACGACACCAACATTACGGTTCTCCTCCGTCGTCTCACCGGGCGATTATTGCCCGAAGCGTCGCAGAACAGTCACCCCCACAAAAAACCAAACTTCCACCACCCTCTCAAGACCACCGCGTCGGAAAACTGAGTCAAGCTCCAATGACGACGTATCGAACGACATTTAGCCTGCATCTATCGAATCAACAAACAACCACGACTAAATCCAGGCGAACAACCCTACGAAATTTAGCCTCTCGGAAGTTGACTAGTGTCAATGTATTAATTATTGTTTAAACATTTGTTATAGGCTATACATTTTAACAGTAGTTTTATACAGATAAGACATTCTCCTGTTACTTTTTCGTTTCTTTTTTTAATAAATTCATAAGCCCTCCAATAAATGACCGGGTAACACGAAATTTTAATAGTAAACACATGTCTTTTTTTCAAAAATTTCTCCTACTCTTGTGTACTATGCGAAGTGCAATAATTTTTATATGGTTCTGAAGCTAATTGATTATGCTTTTCGAAAAAAATAACAATAAAATTTTATAAATTATACTATTAAGCTGTAGCAAGTTGAAGCAGCTGTCTTTAAACCACGACATAAAAATATACGATTATATATATATGTTGTATATAATTTGTGTCGCTATATAAATCCCGGATTTATATATATAATTTGTGGCAGATCCCCCAGAACGC